CGCATCGCTGATACGTATATAAGTATAATAGGGCAATTTTTAAGTCTCTTGTAGAGTCATATAAGGAGTACGGCGTATTGTGAATTATCCAATTTACTCGGAGCGACAACCTCGCCGATTCCAGAAATCTCGCGGGACCCTCATCTTCCCAGAATGCAACGGCGCATAACGAGCGTTGAGTCAATTAATGACAATAGAAATGAAAATAAAGTGTACTGTATTCGCGTTGCTGCGATATATGTATATACAAAATTTCTCGACTGCACATTTTTCATAATAACTTCGAATACCAATGGCGTATACATATAATCTCTATTGTTATCGGACGTACGACCTTCGATTTTTATAAAATGATAATCGACTCGTCCATAGAGACATGCACTAGCTTTTGTATACGTGGAATGTGATACGGAACGTGACTCGGTCAAATCTTAAACCGGTGTCCTGGACTCGCATTTAGAAAATGGCGCTCGTGCTCTCCTTGGTGCCTTGGGCCCTGCGATTACTCAGGAATGAGGGGATACCGGTATCGCGCCTTCACCGGTACGAGAAACGCGATCCAGCTGGCTGGCAGCACTGCACACCCACATTATTCGAGACCCTCAGCTTCTTTCTTCATCTTCTTTAACTTATTTCTTCTTCCTGAATTCTCTTGCGCTCATTATTCCTTTGCCATTCATCCCTTACAGCTTTTACTGTACATGTTACTTCCTCGTGTATTTCATCATCGTGTTTACGCTCATAACAATTTATAAAACCGTTAGTGACTCTTTATCCGGATCTTACTTTATCATGTCTCGCCAATTGGTAGGACCAGTTTAGATGACCTGACCCTATTTCGTGACGGATCTCACGTCCTGGCGTGTTTTGTGCCTCCGAGGTCATTTTCGCAAGTTCCTTTTTGAACTTTTCGGGACTTTCGAAAAAAAAGTCCTTTGCGGGATACATTTTTTAAAATGATTTTTATACTTTACATTGGAGCGGAATACATACGTAGATCAGTAAAAATAAATAAATATTTGACGAACATGTTTAGAAATTATTATTTTTTAATATATAGAGGAAAGGGGTTTGATACGGTATACATTTTCCCGTGTTATTTCCTATGTCATCTCAGATACTTTCTTCCTATATAGATTTTTTTTTCAATTTTCCTTCAACTGTCCAATCAAAATTTCTATCCCCTCCATAGTGGTGGTTGTAGCCGGCATTTTTCCAAGGATCTGTAAAAGGACAGTCGACCTTTCTAAATGGTCGAAAGGCTAACGACGGGAAGAGGGCAATCTTTAACCATCTGCCAAAACAGCCCAGTTAATTTTTCTTAGTTTCTGAAATCGGTACGATAGACCCTGTACACCCAACTAGATACAAAAGATAAAAATCTCTCTGACTATCTTACCTTGTACGTAACATTTCAATAGTAATTTACATAAACTCTTACAAGGTAATGAGGGTCAACGTCCTTCCATTTACCACAGGCACTCGACATACGTAACGCACTTTTTGCTACACCCGTCTGGAAATAGATAATAATACACAAGTTTCTGCAACTGTCAGAAATACATCAGGTCTCTTTACGATAACTCGAAAAAAATAAAAAATGACTAACTCAATAATAAAATTAATAACAAACGAAAATTCATAGAAAAGAAACCGTTATGATAATATAAAAAGTATCAAAGTTTCCACGAATAAGTCATTATGTATATTATATACGTATGTATACGTCGTGATAATGATAACGCTAGAGCGCAAGGTTCAGCATAGCGTCGCGATAAATCGTAATTATTTTAATGCCTCCCGAGGATTCGCAAAGGGTATCGAGCCAGCGCTGTCGTGCTCTACGACTGTTTGTTTCGTCCAGGGCTCACGTGTCCTTCGTGATCGCGTCGTTATCTGTCGCGTAATTACCAGACAATTATCCCGTGGACGAAATCACTTTTTCCTCTTGAAGCGAAGGTGCGATCTTCCCGCGATCACTGAAGGATCTAGACCCATTTTGACATCGTGATAATTCCTCTAGTATATGTTGAAATGTTCACACATAGGTATAGATATAAATAATAGATTTTTTTCCTAAGCGCGAAAAACAAGATTTGATCTGGCACGATCGGAGGGTAGTAGACAATTATATACATATATATACGCGCACACACAACATACCTATCTACCCGGTAGGTATACTCAGATGCACGAGTGTACCTGTGTACCTCGATAGATATGTCTTACTTTTCATAGTTAGGAACTCATTGCGGAAACGAGGTTCGTTCGCGATTACCGCGCACGTCCGCACGTAACGTGGCAGATAATTATCAGTGATTTCCGAGAAGGTTTGCGCATCGGTATGTATGTACCTATTATTATTCCCCGTGGCGAAATGGGGACATTGAGACCTAAGATATCGGTGCCTTTCGCGGAACAGAATACAGAGACAGCTAATATTATATATGTATACAATAAAAATATATATTCTATATTCTACAGCTATTTTACGCGATCGGAGTAGTGTTAATTGCAAGAAGTTTCTTCTGCGGCATATTTCAACCCCTCTTCTTTCCCCATGAATCTTATCGACTTGTTTCTCTGCCTTTCTAGGATAAACGCCACGTCGGACAACGAGAAGCGCAAGGCGGCAGCGAGAATGTTTTCTGGAAACTGGCGTGAACTGGCGTGACCAGCAATTATTCCATACTACTCTGAGGCTCCAGTAATTATCAGCAATCGTTCGCGTCGTTCGTGTACTCGTGGATGCTCCTTGCGCGAACTGCGGCGAAGAGTGGATCCATCCATGCCGACGTAGGATATCCAGGAGAGGAAGAAGAAGAAGAAGAAGAAGAAGAAGAAGAAGAAGAAGAAGAAGACCAGCTCGGCAAAGCGTGTTGCTGGATAGCTGAGTTGGACGTTTCGTTGGTTGGTTGGTTGGTTGGCTGGCTGGCTGGCTGGCTGGCACACACGAAGTCGAGGCTTCGCAGGTAATTGCTAGGCCGACGGGTCGATAATGAGCCCTGGCTTCGGGGAACCGATTACACCGGGCCTGAGCCAAACTAAAGCAGAGCCAGAGCCAAAGAGTGCCGCACACCTAGTCTCAACTGGCCTGGTTGGATGCGGCCCTGAGAAGCATTTCTCTGCCTACGCGAATTGCTTCGACTAGTCGCACTCTCTATCTCGGACACGTAATGCGTTTAATAGACGTCGACACTGTAGCAAAGTAGCAGAGATGAAACGGGACGGTTGGGGCTGGAGGAATCGTTACTGACGAAAAAAAAGCTTTTCCATATATAATACATAAAAGTCTTGAACCAGTTCGTCTCTGATAATGTCGTCAGGACTCTGCGACCGGATCGCAACTTGAAGAGGAACGAAACCGACCACTGAAAACATGCAGAATGAAGAATACGAAGATCAAGAAGAAGAAGAAGAAGAAGAAGAAGTCCTTCCTGCATGCGATACAACCGCTTGCTCTGCTACCGGGACGAGGAGGTGATCCAATTTCCCGCGCAGTCGTGCAGAAAATGATCCAGCCGCGATTACGAAACGGCTTCCAGTCTTCGCCGACGGCACTGTTTTTACCGTTCTTTTCGATACGATAATAATAAAGCTGTCGGACGTTTCGTGGCGCGCGGAAGGCAACGTTCTCACCGTCGGGTCGCGGACGTCGTGGAAAAGTCTGTCTCTTCTTTTCGAGGTGTCACTTTATTATTCGAGCTCTTACAGGACAATCATTTAATTAATTATGTGGACATTTTTTTATGGATTTTTTAAATGAATTACGAGACCGTAAGTTCAGGAGTAAAATGAGACATGTATCTATTGCAATCTATATACATATATATATATTTATATTTATATTGAATATTCTACGGTGTAAGAGTAGGACACGCAGAGCAGCCTCGGGCCGACTAGTCCCACAATTAACATAATGAGGCAGAAAACGTTGATATTAGCGCGAGGTTAGTTAATAGTGCACTTAGCCGGGGAATGTAAATAGTTTATATGCTGAGGGATATCCTGTGAACTCGAAATACATATATGGTTTTCTTTTCGCGGATTCATTGTTATCGGCATTCTTAGTAGAAGATGTACATTTAATCTTTATGCTTTGTATGTAAGTATGCTATTATGTGTATTGTGCGTATATAGGATGCGTATTTATATTTGTAACAAGAATAGAAACTGAGGTGGAGATAAAGGTGGTTACGCGTGTCGCGTTATTCTCACGAACCTTCAGCGGCTTGATGTCTTCATTCGCGAACGTATGCATTTCGTAACAGCTGCTCCGTGGATATAGTTTCCATCTGGTGTTCCGCCGTGATTTGCAGGAAGCCCTCGGGGGTTCGTACGGGCTCTGATTTCGCGGTTTTCAGGGGGTTAACACCGCTTGGCAATTTCACAGGTGTAAAGGTCGTCACCTTTGAAATCGTATCTAAATTGAATTTCTACTTTTTCGAATTTTACGAAACTCTAATTCGATGGATTGTTTAGCCAGATAAAAATTTTTTGTTTATCATTAATCATATTGCTTTTTATTTTTATTTGGTATAACTCAATATAAAAATTATTCAATGTTTCAGGACTTTTTTCTTCCGACGGCAAAATGCTGCAGCGCACGATTAAACGCTTTAAAGTGAATTTGCTTAAACGGTATATGTAAAAATAATGGGAACCACGTGGGTAAATTATAATTAATTTTTCGCAAGGATCAGACTTGGAAAATAGGATTCAATGCCGAATGCAAAGTCTGAATGAGACCGGAGGGTAAATCCAGTCATGAAAACTTCCTTTTGTAGGCGGACACGACGTGGGTCCCTAGTGGCGCCTCTCTCAGGATATAAATTAATTAGATTTGTGTGGGGGTGTGTCGGCCCAGTGCCGGCACGTTGTTTCTATCCGTCTGTCTGTTTGTCCGTTTTTCGGTTCGCATACCTACAGACTGTTCCTATATAGCATAACTCTAAACCTGTCAGAGCGATTCGTCAAATAAATTTTCATACCAGTGCTAGTCTTGGGTGGCTACAAAATTTTCATATTTTACCGCGTAATTCTCACGACGTTGTACATATTCATCGCGAGTCACAATTTACACTAAAATAAATTCGACAGAGCTGTAGTTTCTGAAGCGATGTGTATACGTTAGACAGGTCCATGGAGGATGCATGATGTATGGTGGGCGTAAACCGGGCGTAGTAACATAGTAACGTTTATTATATTGGCTAAGATACGTGTGGCTCACTCGTAAAGGGACCGAACGCTGTTTCACACACCTTGAGGAAGACTCGTGTGATATTGTATCGATAATCTTAGGAGAAAAAAAATATTATCAATGACTTTTCCATGTACTTATAGCTGTATGCGATACTCCAGATCAAAACTTACATTTATGTTGTTTAATGCTGTGGGGGAACTAACGCCCCTGCGGCCACCGCCGCCTCCAACTTCCGCCTCCAGCTCGACGACTTCCTTTCGTCTTCTCCTGGACAATCCTGATTCGCCTTAACCAACACTTTAATCCCCCTCCGACTCTGTCTAAGAATCCTAACCTCACAACAGCCAACCTCACCCTCGGCCAACGACCCCCTGGTCTATCAGAGGGTTGACGTCACTTTGTTTACTCGCACTTCTAGCTGAAACCACCGGCCCTCCTCGCGATCTCGGTCATCACCAGGAGGCAGAGAATAGGGCATCATTCATCAAGTTACTATTCACCAGTCACCTTTGTCACCGATCACGTGGATATAGTCCATTTGTCGTAACTGGCCATCGGATTTTTAGATCCGTCCGTCAGAATTGTCGTCGACCCTGTGTCGTCGTCTGCGTGGAGTCGACGTTCAAGGAGCATACTCGCGGCACCTTATGGTGAACACGCACCGATCGTACGTAACGACATGAGTGAAGTGACCGCGACTTGACAGGAACGGCAAGTCCGTGCAACGAGCTAACCCGTACTCCTACAGCAACGGCGAAACCGTACGAGCCTGCTGAACGAAGCTCTGTGGCAGCAACCACCACTCTCTTTCAATCTCTTACACACTAACTTTGCGATCCGCGGGTTCCGCGTACTTGGTTGAACGCGACTCTGGAATTGCCGTGGCGCCACCCCTTCCCAAGTTTCCTTGGTTTAGCCTCTCTATCTTTACCCACCTCTATCTACGTCCTCTTGCCGGCCTCTGTGCTCGCTTCACCTTACCATACCCCACCGCGCCGCACCTCTTACTGTCGATTCTCCCTCCAATTTTTCCCTGTAATTTACTCCGCGAGCTCTTCTTTTTATTTTATTCCATTTTTGTACCCTCTCTATTGCCTACGCGCCAGCCATGAATCTTTGCCGGGGCGAACGCGCACCGCCCCTTTAATAGCGCGCTCGAGGCTTTTTCCATTCACCCTGCTGCCATCTCGCGGATCTTTTGCTAAACTTGGAAGGAACTCCGACAGATCACGCTGTTCATCTCTTCATTGCTAGTGACGGTGGTACGACGATTGTCTGTAGATTTATACTTTATGTGTGACGGTGTTCTAGTTTCTTTCATGCTATCTTACTTAACGGACACTGTGGATATAAAAGGATCTTTCGATGGTCTTGGATATATTCCCGCGATCGATGTGGATCCTTTCAATTTTGGGAATTTTGCAGATGTCTTTTCTCAGAGACAGGATGCTCCGTCTAGTGCTAGATCGAGAAAACACCTGCCAGGTAGAAAATCCTGAGGATCCTCGGGGATGCTTTCCGGAGTACAAATTATTATACTCCTAGGGCGGGGCAGTGTGTATCGTATGACAGGAAGATGCTAGAGAGAACCTGATATATGACAAGGGACTGATTCGTTATTATGTGAATTTTCACGGGGTTCGTAAGAACGAACCATGTACGTACAGTGCGGTGCGTGAATAAGGGTAACGTTTTTATACTGTAAAATATAACGTTGTCAGAGAAATCGAACCATTATATCTGTACCGTAGTGTACGCATAAATATATTTTCAATTAAAATTAGAAACAGTTTTCGCCAAAAGCTTTTCACAGAGATCAATTGGTCTTCGCACAAGTAATAAATTACTACATGGATTCTTTATCATTCGGTAATGCCGACCTTTAATAACTCTTCATAATTTAATTACAGGCTGTCAAAATGTACAAAAATATACAATGATATTTACAAAACGGACAATAGGAACTTTCATCATAACCAACTATTTACAAGGCACTCCATAGGACATCACAGATTCCCAAGTGGCATTCGCGCCGCTGTAGTTATCGATCTAGATCAATACCGTTACACTTTCCCATGATTAAACGTCCAATTAAACCATAGCCGTAAAATGGCCACCCATGATATATTGAGGTGGTCCATGAATGGCATGTTCCTCCTGTCTCGGCAGATTCTCCTTATTTCCATCTTTCTTACCAGACTTCCGCTTTTGATTCTCATGAGTCTTAACGTGCTTCGTCAAATGGTCGCTGCGCATAAAGCGTTTGCCACACGTAGGACACGCGAACCTCTTTTCTCCAGTGTGCGTACGAAGATGTCGTTGAAGTTCGTCACTCCTAGTGAATCTCTTCCCGCAGAATAACCAATTGCAGACAAACGGTCGCTCACCGGTATGCCAACGTAGATGCGCCTTGAGGTGGGAAGTCTTGCCGTAAACCTTGCCGCATCCTGGCACGTGGCAAATATGTTGTCTCTTCCCATCAAGACCTAGTTGACTTCCGCCATCGATCTGGCAATTAGGGCAACGACACCTGGTGCACTTTCGACCTGGTTTAACATCCTCGCTGGTCAAGAGATGCTCCGACGGTGGGGTCAGTGGCCACTGATAAGGCGACGTATGACCCTGAGGACTCGGCGGCAGTTCCGGCGGACTCGGAGGTAGAGGATAATGCTGTACAGGAGGAATTGACGGCAGTTGGGACTGCGTTGTCCAGGAGGCAGGACTGTGATGTTGCATCAGGGGTTCAGCGATCTGTCCATGATTACCGGCACCAGGAAACCAATAACTAGACTGCGGCGTCTGTAGATGATGACTCGATATCTGATGATTGTATGGCTGATAATGAACTCCGGTATTAGCGTAATCCATCACGTGGTGCTGGCTCATTGGTACAGACAACGTAGACATGGGTGGTATACTCGTCATCGGGGACATGGTCGGGACGCACATCTGTAACGAAAGACGTCTCAATTAACTTCCTTTATTTAATTCTCACTTTCTCAACAATTATTATTATTATGACTGACTATATATTCGTTTGGACTTTACTACTTTTTTTTTTGCATTATCAAAGAGTTATTTATGTTTTTTCAAGTATACACAGTTATGTATCCTCGAAGCAGATTGAGAAACGAGGACCTTGTTTCCTGGCCCAGGAACACTTTTTAAATACACCTTGTCACTGATGTGATACTAATCATAATTATGCAAAGGCGTACCTGCTGGTACTGCATCACTTGCGCCATCACTTCACTTCTACCGTCTCGCGGTTAGTATTCCGATGTCACCGTGATAAACTGCCCGAGAACGTTGAAAAAGAAGAAGGAAGTCGAACGAGTTGGTACGATTAAAAAAAATTGACTTACATGCGCGTATATATAGGTTAAGAAATAAAAGAAATTAAGTAAACGAGTTATAAGAAATCAAGAGTAATTGCCGAGCCCAGAAGAGGCTCTCTCTTTTTTTCTCTTCTATCTTTCTTTGCACACGTATTCAAGTTCCCGAGATTCCGTAGGAATGGTGCGTGCGCGGCTTCGGGCGTTCGCCGGATAATTGCTGGTTGGCGAGCGTGTCGCCTCGGTTTTAATAACCGAGTGGACAACGCGCTCGAAGAGGGAGGCTGGCTGCAATTCTCAATGTTCTGGGGTGGGGGCTACGGCGCATCCTATCGGACTAGAGCGCATGCGCCTGCCCCACCATCAACTCATAAATCAACCCTGACCAAGGAAGGATCGAGGATCGGGCCCTTTGTGACCGCCCTATAGGGCTGCCTAGAAGAGCGCCTTGAGGTTTCTACAGATTCTCTGCTGTACTTTCTTAAGAATATTTTTTTCACTATCCTCGTCTCTCTGCCAAATCCTGCCATTCTCCAAATACTTTTTGTCCAACTTTACTAAACGATTGAGCGAGTCGTTTTAATATTTTTTTTTTATTATTCCAAATACTTGTGGAAAAGTAAATTAATAATTTTTTTATATCTTTCAAATACTTTTTTCACATGACAAAGTAGAGATAAGGGATGTTATCAGATACGGAAATACGCGAAGACCTGATTTTCTAGCACTTATATTGTGAGGAGAGCGAGGGTCTTGCCATAAATCCATATAGAGCTTCATGGTATTTGAGCGAGTTGAGAAGAAGAAAAAAAAAGAGAAAGAATGACGAGCAGCCACAATGACGTTAGCGACAGGATTTTTGCCGGTTTACAAAGTACGGTTTATGGTGGGGCTGTAAAACGATCATCGGGGACCTGGGGTGACGACACTTTTGCGCTACCGATCGTGCAAGACCGATGGCCATTATTACAACTGTGGGACGATTCGTGACGCTACGAGCTGCATATCGTTTTATGTCAGATTCATTCTCGGCTGCTTTCTTACCGCATAGAAAGTAAAAGAATACCCGTGACTTGACTCGTTTCAGATTTTATGACAATCTTTTGTATCTTTATTAATAATTGCTTGCGAATTTGCGAAATATTTTTATACATATACAGTGAGTTATTGTACGTTAAACAGTTTCATTATGTGTATAGCCATAATAAAATAATAAATTGAACGTCTTTGCGTCACTGGGAAATGACTTATTTTTTTGGAAATTCAGATTTATTTTGGTATCGTATTTCTGATTAAGAAAGGGCGCGTGTAAATTTTGTAGATGGCAAATTTTTTGAAAATATAATCATAACATAAAAACGTGTAGAAAAGATGTTGCTGTATTTATTTTGAATATCTGGTCCATTTATGTTTACTCAGGCAAACCCTTAGGGAATCGACGGCTGCGGTTCTGAGATAATGTCGGAAATGTCTTATCTTGTCAGTATACAATAATTATCGACGTTACAATACAGAGAATAATAATTCATTATGGCGATTATTAGAATCAACATATAACAGTACAATTTAATATCCTAATTTTTTTTCTATCTACTGCAGAGAAAATATTTTTTTCAGCAATTTTAAACGAATTCTTAGTTTTGACGTTTCTTTACCTTTTTTGTTCCTAAAATAAACCCATAGATGCACAGTCGAAGTTTTTGAGGTTTTGCATTAACGAGCTTCCGGATGGTGAAAACTCGATATAAAGCAAAACCGTCTGGCAAACCAATCCGACAAGTTCATCGATCATTTTTGAAAATTGTCAGTCTCAAAAGACACGGGCCTCCTATTCCTGAATGAATTGTACAAACAGTCAACTGCTGCGGGACATATGTCCAATTTTTGACAATAAGAGTCTACCCAATGCCGTTGTAAATCTTTGACCAGAGTCGTAGCAAATTCCAATGGTGACGCCCAGTTAACCCTTTTTCTATTTGCTGCCAGTTCACTAAAAGCATTGTCCACTAATAAGCCGCTTAGCGACTCCACTAGGGGTAAATTGCTCGACCGATAAACAGTACTCCCACGCGATTGCTATGTAATCCATATAAATCAGTCTATAATTTTCTAACGATTTTTTTTTGTTAATCAACCCAGAAAACTGCGACTCAAATCAACCAGTATTAAAAAAAAAATCACTTTTACTCAAAAGTCAAACTTTCTTCTTCACCTTTGAGACAAAAGAACGAATAAAGAACAAATGATAGGAAGTGGAATGTCCCTCTGCCGTGTCCATAGGTGTGACCAATTAGCGTCGTAGATATTCTTCATAGATTCCCATTCAGTGGTACCAACTGCTGTAAGAGTTTCAAACCTACCCCCCGAGCCACGCGCTTTTCGACGACATTCAAGGGTGCTGGACCGATGCAAATCGTAGGGCAGGTCAGGATTCGGTTTTCACTTTGTAACAAGTGCTTTGCGTGTGCGAAGTCAGACATTCCTGTATAACTATTGTAATGGGGACGGTATAGAGGTTAGGTTAGGTATGGGTGTAGCCGTTCAGCGTTAGGTAACTGCGTCGCGTCTTGACGACGTCATGACGTCATAATTCACTATAGTAACGGCCCACTCGGCTCTCCTTCATGTGAACAATGCGTGAATGTTCCCCATTCTGAATCTATTCCGTGGGTAATCCTCTATCATAATTCACAAGACTTTTATAGTTTGCTGGAAATCGTAGAAGCCAATGCGTTTGCTACTTTACGAGTTGCCTTAAGGATTCGCCACCTGTGACTATATTTAAGACTGGTCCCAATCCTCATATATATATAGTTACAAAATGGTCACTCAGTCTTAAGAATTCCAATGTGAAATCCTTATTAGTGGTAGAATTCCAAGTGGGATCATGACGATGAGAGGCGCTTTCGAAATCCTTCGTGTTTAAAATCGACGCCAAACCCTAATGACTCCTAGACCCAGGTTAGGATCGTTAGACAGCGCGAGGAGTTTCAAGTTTCGACAGTGGGTCGCTCATTGCCTGGATCGGCTGATGAAAATGATCGGGACCAAGTAGTCTCAAAAGTAGTCCCGGCAGGCTCCTTTTTCCAACCTGGACCCGTAAGAGGAACGCTAAGGACCGTGACTAGAAAGAGGACCATACTGCCAGCACAATGGTCCCGACAATACGACCAGTTTTTGGGACTAATGGAGCGAAACTCGCAGTTTTCACACGCTGCCAGACGTAACTCGGAATCGGTAAGTGAATACCGGCCACTTTTATGGTGAATCGGATCGGATCGCAGGATGAGAACAAGGATTAGCTCAGGACCAGTGCAAGGTGTCTCACGGGTGGAGGCTCTATTTCCTGTAGAAGTCGATAATCCGGTGTCGCCTAAAAAATTACGTAAACAAAAGATTGCACAGCATTCAGCAGCAGTGATTATAGTCTGTTTATCTTAGCTGGGTCCCATACAGTTCCGGTACCAATTAACGAAATCGGTAGTGAATCGAAAGCGTTTTTTCGCGCTGATTTCTTGCTGGACTTGGGGAACGAGGCCCGCGAGGTTACTTGGAGGGTTTGGGAGTGCTGAGACACGCGCGTCATTAATCATCCCCATAGATAGAGCCTATAGCTGACTAAAGCAGAGAATCCTGGTGTCGGTTCTGGCTCGTAAGCCTCCGTTATCCGCACGTAACAATGCCGTCCGATAGTCATTTGTTACCCGCTGTTTATAGACAAAAGACTGCCGGATCGATCCGGCATAATCGCGAACAATGCATCACGGGAATTTTGTTTGTTTTAAACTCTTTAACCTGTTGACCCATGGAACCTGATGCAGCATCTCTTTGGGATGAAAAAAATGGTTCTTCTACATGAGTACGACATTGGGTCAGCAAATTTTTCGTTGGCCGTAAAACGCAACGGGCAGTCATTCTTGATCTCCCCTGTCGGTTACTACAATCAAAATGACACCCCCGTCATAGTGCGACCTGTTGCGTCGAATAAAGAACCCAAGGCGTCGGGATGCTTTGCCGATGAGAACCTGGGGCCGTGAGAACTACGGAATCAAAGAACACCGTCGCGCATTGTGAACCTGGCCTATTACACAAGCCGACTTTTGTCACTCTTTACGTTTTAAGAGGAAAAGACGCTCGCAGTTAGAGATTTACGATTGGTAATGATTGTTTAGTAGTGACTTCGTGATTTTTTGAATGATTGAAATTTGCACTTTTTTTATGGCAATAGTATTACAATCTGGGGATCCTAATGGTAATACAATTTTGGGCGAAAAATGTAATTAGAAATTCCTATATGATTGGTGGAAAATATTGTATACTTATGAGTATATATACATATGGTAATAATTATTGAGTAATTTACTTGATCCTGGAGTTATTTCTCCTTAAAGATCACAGGGAAAATAGAAGATAAAAATTGCGTTACATTTAGTGAGTAACACAAATACAATTTTTTGTTTCACATAAGTGCATAGTCTAATAAAGCATTAGATATTTTGTATGACAGTTACATATGATTTGCAGCAATCCGAAGAAAATATCAATGAAAAAGAATGAAATTATTAAGAATAATAAGAGGAAAAAAGCATCAATCGTGCAAGCACAATGTCAATGGCAGAAGTAGCCGTCTTTTACTCACCTAACAAACCTGCCGCATCGAGTACGAAATTTGGCTATGATATTGGCAGTAGTGACTTCTGGAGGCAAGGAATTCCAAAATTGAATCCCAGCGAACAGGAACGATTTCTGGAACGTGATGAAGGAAGGATAAGGATTAGGGCACCTTAATATTATTAAAAATTACAGTGGGTTCGTTCAAAATATTATGACGCCATATATTACGAAGGTTTGCTCAGTACGTTAATTTTCATTCATTTCGGAAACAGGGAGTACCTACATTTAATCCTGCTAGAATAATTCGGTTCAGTGATAGGTAAGCCAATTAGCATCGATAGATAATCCCAGATGCATAACGGCGGGATCTTCAAACTTCCAAGGTGTAAAACCCAAGCGAATTATAACCACTGTAATTGGATTCTTAGACCTACGGAGCACGTGTTTGTTCGTTCAGGATTCAGTTAATCCTTTTAGGTTAGAAGTGATTGATACCGACGGGTCAAACAGACCCCCTGCAAACTTTAACCAGCGCACAGTACTTCCCCCGAGTACCGGTTGTGCACCGAAGGGCTCTACCGGGTGGTGAAAAAAAATTCAGTCAAGAAGGTTTACCAAAGGGCGTGTTGTTTTTCTAAAAGTGAACCTCCTAGAGAAGTCAACTGCCTCGCAGCAGGTCGTCGAGAATTCTTCGTTCTCTATGACTTTTGCCGGATTTACCTGTCGTACGAAAATTATTCAGTATTAAAAATTTACGTTAAATCCCTTTTTTTCAATTTACGACTTTTGACTTCTTAATCCTCTCCAGTACGGTACCTTGGGATTTTCTTAGTTCCGGGTAGCTGTAACCAAGCTGCAGAAGACATGGATGCAGACAAAGATTATGAAGCGTATAGAAAACGGACCAGAGAGAGAGAGAGAGAGAGAGAGAGAGAGAGAGAGAGAGAGAGAGAGAGAGACAGAGAGACAGAGAGACAGAGAGACAGAGA